CTTCAGCTCAAGGCGAGTGCTCTACCACTTGAGCTATAGCGCCACTTCCAGTTTTCTGGTGGTTTATTGGAGATAGGAGTCTCACGGTCTTTCCTGCCCGGGCTGGCTTTGAACCGCGATCCTCAGATCTCAGCCTCCTGAGTAGCTAGGATAACAGGCGTGAGCCACCAGCGCCCGGCTGAGACTCTTATCTCTACTTAAGCACCAGAAAAATGTAAGTGGTCCTTGGCCCAAAGTGGTAGAGCACTAGCCTTGAGACAAAAGAGCTCAGGCCCCCAGTTCAAGCCCCAGGACCAACAAAACAAATAAAAACAAAAAAAAACAAAGTGGCTGAGGGTATAACTTTCATGGTAGAGCATTCCCCAGCTCAGAAAAAGAAAAAAGAAAAAAACAACAACATACCATACAGGTATATAGAAAGCTGTTGTGTGTTGGCTCAATGAGTAACCCACAGGGCTAATAGAATCCAATCACAGCTCTGGATTAGAGCAGGGCTTAGTGTGAAAAGGGTAACTGCTCATTAGGCTGAGATGTTCAAACAGAAGAATAAGTTTGAAATATCGTTGTACAGATATTGAGCCGTATGAAGAACTAGAAGGACACACTATTGTGCAACTTAATTATACAAAATAATTTGTTAATTATACAAATTTGTTTCTTGAGGAAGCACTTGCCAGGCCCGTCTATCCTTTTTCCCGAGTTTTTCTCTTCTACAGTGAACCCTGGCCCTGCCATCAGATCATCAGCCTTAGCATCCATCCTGTTTTTTGTTTTTGTCAGTTGTGGGGTTTGAACTCTGGGCCTGGGCGCTCAAGTGGTTTTCTGGGGTTAATTGGAGATAAGAGTCTCATGGACTTTCAGGCTGTGATCCTCAGATCCTGAATAGTAGTGGCCTTTCTTTCTTTCTTCCTCCCCCCCCACTTCCTCCTCCTTTTTTTCCTCTTTTTGTTTTTTTTTAAGTGTTTTTTGTTTTTGTTTTGTACTGGTCCTGGGGCTTGTACTCGTTGCCTGGGCACTGTCCCTGAGCTTTTGTGGTTAAAGGTAACGCTCTACCACTTCAGCCACAGCTTCACTTCGGCTTTTTGGTGATTAATTTGGAGATGAGTTGCGAGGACCTCGTTGCCCGGGCTGGCTTTAAACTGTGAAGCCTCAAACCTCAGTCTCCCGATTATAGTAGAAATAAAGGATTTGGGAACCTCCGGTCTCAACGCTGGTTGGCTGAACTTCAGCTCAATCATTACCCAGCAGCCCACCCTTTCCTTTCGTACACCCAATCATCTCCCTCCCCCGTCAACAGGCTAGAAAGCGGAAGTGCCAGGACCACGGGTGCCCCAAATCCCGCCCCTGACACCTTCCCAGCCCTAGAAGTAGACGCGAATCCCGGAAGGGGCGGGCACAAGGCTACGGAGTGGGCGACGCGGCGGGGCGGGGCGTCCCGCTGCAAAGTGGCGGTTTACTTGAGGTGGTTGCCTCGGTATCCCCGCGTTGTTTGCCAGCTGCCGCGTACACGGCCCGGGGTTTTGTCTGTCTGGGAGCGTCCGGAGGTCCAGCCCTTCTCCGATTACGTCCATGTTGGGACGCTGCCACACGGCCAGGTTTCCCCCCGCCCCGGCAGGCCTGCGCCCGCTCCTTGGGTCCCGGGTCTCTCCCGGTCAGCCTCTCCGGCCGCGCCGCTGCCTCCCCGGGGAGGCGGGGGCTTTGGCCGCGGGGGTTTGGGAGGTGTTAGGCGTTTCGGTTTTTGTTTTCTCCCTCACCAGGAGCCACCGATGCCGGGACGTGTGGCCCCGCTCAAGAAGCCTCGGAGTGCCACAGCTTTGCCCCTGGCCCTGAACCCCAGGAAGAGCCACGACGTGCTGGCCGTGTTGGCCGAGAGGAGCGAGGTCGTGGCGCCGGTGGGGGCGTGGGTGGAGCCGGCCTCCCCGCAGTGCCGGGAGATCCCGGCGCACGTGAGTGTCCGCCTGCCCCGGCTCCCCGCTCACCGCCTTCCCGATCAACTTACTTTGAACGCGGTGCTGGAGTTTGAACTCAGTGTCTCCTGCTTACAAGCTACATCCCCAGCCCCTCCCTCCCTCCCTTCCTTCTTTCTCTCCTTCCTTCCTGTCTTTCTGCCTTTCTGCTTTAGTTAATTTTCAGGCTGGGCCTTGCATTTTTTTCCCCCTGCAGGGGCAAGTTTTTAGCAGTTGTCCTCTTGTGTAGCTGAGATCATAGGCGTGCACCATTATTACACTCAGTTTCTTGATTGAGATGAGGTTTTTGTGGAAAAAACTCAAGCCACAGTCAATTGAAACCAAGAGTACAGGCAAGCGTGTCGTCCATCCCGTTCCCCTCCCCCCCGTGCCCCCCCATCTCACCTCCCACTTTCCCCCCTCCACTGCAACACCTCTAGTGTTTTATTTTGTTTGTTTTGTGTTTTTATGTCAGTCGTGGGGCCTGCATGCTGTCCCTCAGCTCTAGGCTAGTGCTCTATCATTTGAGCCACAGCGCCACTTCTGGCTTTTTCTGATTATGTGGGCTGAGGAATCAAACCCAGGGCCTCATGCATGGTAGGTAAGCGCTCTACCACTGAGCCAACTTCCGAGCCCTGGCACCTCTAGTTTTTGATACTTAATAATGGTTGGAAGATACTTGTTTCACCTGAGGCCTGCCCCCCCCCCATAGTATTGCAATACAATTATTTTCAGGCTTCTAAAAGTAGATTTGATCATTTGATGTGAAAGGTTTAGTAGCGGCATAGTGGTTGACAGGATTATGAAAAATCAGGGTGGTGGGAAACTATAGGAAGTTTTGAAGAAAAGATTGACTTTATTAATTTTTACAGGTGTAATTTCATGATCAAACTGCTTTTTACTTAGATTTTTTGCTTCAACGTTTCTAAAAGTTAGGGAGAGGGCTGGGAAGGTGGCTCAGTGGCAGAGTGCTTGCCTTGCATGCATGAGGCCCTGGGTTCGATTCCTCAGCACCACATAAGCAGAAAAAGCTGAAAGTGGTGCTGTGGCTCAAGTGGTAGAGCGCTAGCCTTGAGTTGAAGAGCGGAGGGACAGTGCCCAGGCCCACAGTTCAGGCCCCACGTCCAGCAAAAAAAAAAAAAAAAAGTTAGGGAGAGATTGGATCCAAAGGTACAAGCTGGAATATAATTGTAACAATTAAGGCAGGAAGAATATTATTAAAATTTCTTTAGGTAAGAAATAGAGAGGAAAAACCTTGATAAAGGGGGATCAAGAATCAGTAAGATTTGATACAAAAAGATATTTTCACATTTCAGTTACACATCTTTTTAAGTCCTCAGATTTTGACATCTCTGTAATGTCAGTAGTATCAAACTGCCTACAATTTGACCCTGATAATCATATTTTTTCTTTTTCTGTGCTGAATCTTAAATTGAATCTTAAGTTCCCACACATTAATTTAGAACATGTACAAACATTTCTCCTTTAACTTGTTTAAATCATTCTAGAATGCTTGCTTTAGCTTATTTACTCTGGATATCCACCTTTATTGACAGTTGTAGCACTGTCAAAGGAGATGTAAGTAGTTACTTCTAAAGTTTGGCTAGGAATTATATTTATCCTAAAAGGGGACTCCTATTAATTTTTCTCCACAAAATACTGAGAGGCCATCAGGATTCCTAGAAATGCCATAGAGCCCCACTCCCTGACAGTTGAAAGCCTAGCAACAGAACCACTTATGTCTTACATCGCATATGGCTATTACCTTATTTTATTTTTTGATCTGGTTGTCTTGTTCTGTATAACAAATGACTCCAGAACCTAGGGGCATAAGGCAAATATTACTGTGTGTTGGAAATTTAAGAGGCTACAGTGGGAAGCTGTGCCTTTGCTCAACTTGGGTGTCTTAAATAGTTGGACGTGACATATCTGGACAGCTTGACTGGGTGTTAGCTATTGGTTGAATTCCTTGGTTCTTTGTCATATGGCACTATATATGCTGTAGTGTCCAAGATGGCTTTCTTACGTATCTGGCATTGAATCTAGGATGACTAAAATGGCTGAGGGCTGGCTGGTATCTTTTTTTTTTTTTTTTAATTGGTCGTGGGTCTTGAACTTAGGGGCTGGGTGCTATCCCTGAGCTTTCTGCTGAAGGCCAGCACTCTGCCACTTGAGCCACCACTCCACTTCCCTTTTTCTAGTGGTTCATTGGAGGAGATGAGTCTTACAGATGTTCCTGCCTGTACTGGCTTTGAACTGAGATCCTCAGATCTCAGCCTCCTTAGTAGCTAGGATTACAGGTGTGAGCCACCAGTACCCAACTGGCTGGTGTTTTTTTGTATTACACATGGCCTGTTTGACTAGCCTGTGCTTCCTTGAAACATGGTAGTCGCAGAATAGTCAGAATTCTTGTATGTTGTTGGCTTCATCCAGAGAACATTCTAAGACCTCCAGGTAGACCTCCAGGTAGAAGTTGCTTCATGACCTTGCTTGAGAAGTCTCAGAGCCAACACACCGTGCCTCATTCCTTTGGGCATACAAATTGAGATCACATTCATGTGTTCTTTCACTATTATATAAACACTCCATTCTGTTAATAGTATGTATAGTGTAGGAAGGCAATGAAGAGTTAGGTGTAGAATCAAAACATTAATATTGCCAACTGCTTTTATTTTGTTTACTGTTAATATTCAGAGCACTTAGAGGAGATGACTGCAGGGACTGACATTGAAAGGTGTTCTAAGTTGTTTAGAATACTTTGTGGAATTGCCCTCAGAGTTCATAATCTAGTGGGGCATTAATAAATAATGTGTACAGTAACTTTAGTAAAATGAGAGGTTCCATAGCATAAAAGCTCAGAGGAAGTCAGTGTTTTAGGAGGTAGTGGGTGTGAATATTAGTCTTGTAAAGACTGTGTAGGCTATTACTGTGTGGAATTAAAAATAGATCATAATTCTGAGTGTGAAGACATTTTATAATAAGATGAATTTGGTAAGTAGTGAGCAGTCTGGTCTATTAATACTGTTCATTAATTTTAGACAATATGCAGCCCAAATGGATTTAATTGACTCACTAATGAAATCATGTTTAGTTTTAGTTTAATAAAAGAAAAAAAAACATTAGGATTTGAATGTTCACACAGTTCCTATTTAGCTTATGATTGGGTTGTGCTCTGCTTCTTGGCCCTTGCTTTCAGGCCTGGCCTAACTTCTTGGTACTTACTAGCTATGTCTAGATCATTGGTTTTGAAGTTGATATCCTTACTTACAGTTTATAGTTTAAATTCTTCTGGGAGGTTTGGATTATAGGCTGAATTATTTTTTAGGTCTGTGTTTATAGTAGCGTTAATAAATAAAGCTGCCCATTAAGTTCATTTTCTCTTTCATCTTTAAAGACTTCAGCATATATAATTGAAGAAGAACTAAAGGAACAACAAAGAAGGAAACAAGAAGCTTTGAAACATTTTCAGAGACAAGTCAAATACCGAGTAAATCAACAAGTCAGGCTTAGAAAAAAGCAACAGCTTCAGAAGTCTTATGAAGCAGTAAGTGCAAAAGAAAACTGAGCCTTAGTAGACTGAATGGCAAGTCTTATGAGCTAAGTTATTAGGCAGTAACAGTTTCAGAATTGATTTTCTTTTGATTGCATGCTTTATATAATCAGTTTTCTAGTGGGCACAAGAGATTTTCATATTGAAAGACCTTTATTCCCATGTTCTGATTTGTTTTTTTGCTTTCACCAAATGAGTTAGTAACAATTTCAGAATTTTAAATTTAGACTTGTTTGAATTCTAACTTTGCTACTTGCTATGTGATTGTAGGTTACTTAATTTATTAGCATCTTGTCAATAAAAAATATGATACCTGCCAGGCGCTGGTGGCTCACACCTGCAATCCTAGCTACTCAGGAGGCTGAGATCTGAGGATCACAGTACAAAGCTAGCCCAGGCAAGGAAAGTCCAAGAGACTCTTATCTCCAATTAAATACCAGAAAACGGGAAGTAGCGTTATGGCTCTAGTGGTAGAGCTCTCTCCTTGAGCTGAAGAGCTGAGGGACAGCACCCAGGTGGAGTTCAAGCCCCACAACTGACCAAAACAAAAACAAAAACCTATCTCACAGGATTATAATAACCTAAATAATTTATTAGCACATAATAGTTGCTGGTAAATGTTAGTTTCTCTTGAAGCTAAAGCCTTATGTCCCCATCCTCTGCTCTAAATGAAAATCTTGGCTGCTTAAAGGGAGCACTGAATTGGAATGGAAACTCATTGTCCATCTTTTCCTTTGAGTAGGTAGAAAAAGAAGGCTCTATAGCCATGCAGTCTTCAGATCGAACTCTTAAAAGGACAAGCGTTTTTCCAAGTACTTTGAATGCTGCTATTGGAAGTTCTGTGTTACCTCCTTCCCAGATGCTTGGGGATACAGTAGATAATGGAGAGAATCACAGTGAATTATTCCAGCAAGCCCAGGCTGTAAGTATACATTCATTTTATTTTCAGTCTAGTTTTTTTTTTTTCTTTTCAACCTCCAAATCTAGGATATGGAACAAGGATCCCATTCAGCCTCACTTTTGATTATCTTTTTTTTTTTTTCCTGGAGACAGGATTTTGCTCTGCAGCCCAGGTGCCAACCTTACATCCCTATAGCAGCATGAGTTAGGTAGGAAGTCAGGTTATAAAAGCTTTAAGTGTTACAAAATAACTGGGAAGGTGGTAGAGCGCTTGCCTTGCATGCATGAGGCCCTGGGTTCGATTCCTCAGCACCACATAAGCAGAAAAAGCCGGAAGTGGCACTATGGCTCAAGTGGTAGAGGGCTAGCTTTGAGCTGAAAAGCTGGGGGACAGCGCCCAGGCCCAGAGTTCAGGCCCCACAACCGACAAAAATAAATAAATAAATAAGTGTTACAAAATATTAAAAAGTTTTTGAGTCCTGTTTTGCTACCTTTTTTCCTTGAAAAGAAGGTGTATGCTGGGTACTGATGGCTCACACCTGTAATCCTAGCTACTTAGGAAGCTGAGATATGAGGATCATGGTTCAAAGCCAGCCCAGGCAGGAAAGTCCATGAGACTATCTCCAATAAATCACTAGAAAAACCAGAAGTGGCACTGTGGCTCAAGTGGTAGAGCTGAAGAACGCAGGGGCAGAGCCCAAGCCCAGAGTTCAAGCCCCAGGACTGACCAAAAAAAGAAAAGAAAAGGTGTATTAATAAAGTATATTAATATTAATTGTATTAATTAATTGGAAGAAAGCATACTAATAAAGCATATTCAATTAACTATTTTACACCTTAAACTTTTGCTTTTACAACTCTGTGATAATGGGTGTTTTAAAATTTTACCATTTCTTTTACAATTTTTATCCACTAGATGTCATTATGAAACTAAAAAATGAAATTGTTCAAGTACTAGCTTTTTTAGTTTTCTAGAATAGACTAAATAAATGATAAACATAACTCACTATCTAAATGCTAATGGTCTTTTCAGTTTCCTTGTGTCTTGAAACTATATAAACATAGAATCATTGAGTTGTAAGGATTTTAAAGTTAATTGAACTATTTAAGGATGCAATGGTTTGATGTCTGGAATATACTTCAAAATAATATTAGAGTGAGATGGGACTTATATTTCAGGATTGAGTTTCTAGGGTGTCCCTTGATTACTGTGCATTAGAAGAGAATTGAAGGACATCTTATTTTTTTTCATTCTCACCATATAATAATTAAAAAAATTATAAACTGTTCACTATTATTTCTTTTCTAGCATGGTTTATGTCAGCTTTTTGTTTCTTACTAAACTTTTTACTATCTTATGCTTTAATTTTATTTTCAAACTTTGTGTATGAGCCACCATACTTTGCTCCTTATTTTCATTTTTAGTTCTCCATTACAATTCCAGTTTTCTAGCTTTTTAATCTGAAAATCATTACCTTTTGTAGATAAGTAAAGATTCCAATGATAGGAAATAACCTACTAAGTTTCTGTCACTCGTCATTGAAAACACTAATATTTTAGTTAGGATCTTTTTGCTCCAAGAACTCAGGCTAATTCAAGCAAGAAAAAGTTTCAAGAGTATACATAAGGGTTGCAGAAATATCTCAAGTGGTAGAGCACTTGTCTGTCTTGGAAAGTCACTGAATTCAATCCCAAATAGTGCAGAACAAAAAGATAAAAAGACACTAGGTCTCTATTAAGAAAATTTTGGTCTGTGCCGAGGAGACCTTGGTTTTCTCCTATTTCGTCCTGTAATGTTTTCAGGTGTCTGCTTTGACTCCGAGGTCTTTGATCCATTTGGAGTTGATTCTGGTGCAGGGTGATATATAAGGATCTAGCTTTAGTTTTCTCTACAAGTGATTAACCAGTTTTGCCAGCACCATTTACTGAAGAGACTGTCTTTCTTCCATTCTATTTTTTTAGCTCCCTTATCGAAGATTAGGTGGCCATGGGTCTGTGGGTTCATTTCTGGGTTTTCAATTCTATTCCATTGGTCCTGAGGTCTCTTCTTGTGCCAGTACCAATTGATTACTCAACACAGATGCCCCTCAGTAGATGAATGGATCAAGAAAATGTGGTATATCTACACAGTGGAAGTCTATGCCTCTGTCAGAAAGAATGACATTGCCCCATTTGTTAGGAAATGGAAAGACTTGGAAAAAATTATATTAAATAAAGTAATCCAGACCCAAAAAACATAAGTCCCATGGTTTCTCTCTCTCTCTTTTTTCTTTTTGTCTGTCATGGGGCTTGAACTCTGGGCTTGGGTTCTGTCCTTGAGCTCTTCAGCTCAAGATGAGTGCTCTACTCATCTACAGCGCCACTTCGGTTTTCTGGTGGTTTATTGGAGATAAGAGTTTCACTGACTTTCCTGCCTGGGCTGGCTTTGAACCAAGATCCTCAGATCTCAGCCTCCTCAGTAGCTAGGATTACAGGTGTGAGCCACTGGCGCCTGGCTCCATGGTTTCTCTTATAACTAGTATGTGTCTGAGACAAGCAGAAAATGTCAGATAAGATGATATTAGGCGAAATGAACCCCAAGATAAGGACACAAGTGGTTTTCTTCTTTTTTGCTATTGTTTCTGACGTATTTATAAGGTGATTTTTTTGGTTGCTTTGTGTGTTCTTCCCCCATAGTATAACCTCTGTTTTTACTGTATTTGATGTCGGTATAATTTGGGGTAGGGAAGGGAAAAAAACAAATTGTTTAAATAGGGATACAGGTGGACCCATTGCAACAATGAGATGTACAAGATGTTATGTTGAAAAACAAACTTTACAACTTTGGGGGTGGGGGAGTGTAGTCGTAGAGATAGGAGGGCAGGGATGGTAGGGGAAAAACCGGAGGAGGCAACAATGCTTGATAAGAAATGTACTCATTACCTTGCTCATGTAATTGTAACCCCGCTGTACGTTTCACAATAAAAAACTTATTTAAAAAAAAAGACACTGGGACTTGGGTTAATCAAAATACAATTTGAACCTCACACAAATTCAAACTTCCTTTAAAGGTCTTCAAGTGAATGTTTTTCTGCATGTAAGATCCAGTGATGATAAGAGAATGATATAATTGAATTTATACTAGTATTTAGTCATTGACTTGATTGATTCAATTGCTCTCCTCGTGTGTCTCAAGAGTGAGGGATTTCCTAGGAAATGAGTCTTCCAGTCCTAAAAACTGGACATTTTCAGGCCAGCCAGTTCTTTGATCTTCCTGTCTCTACATAGCTGTTTCTTTCTCATTGACTTACTTTCCCACTCTTAGCTGGTATTCTTTTCACTTCATCACAACTGTCATTTTGGCATACTTAAGGCTCCTTTTGTGTCTTCTTCAGTTTGGGACCTTTTGGGTTCAAGTTCTGTCTGATTTTCTCTGAATATTTCCTAGTTCCTTATCTCTGGCAAAGAATCTTTTTTTTTTTTTTT